GTAAGGGTGGGACCTTCATAAAAGGAAAAGAAACCAGAGCTCGCTCTCTGCCACGTAAGGACAGATCAAGAAGACCATCATTTGCAAGTCAGCAAGGGGGCTCTCATCAGAAAGAACCCAACCACGCTGGCACCCTGAGCTCAGACTTCCAGCTTCTAGAACTGTGAGAAATAAATTTCTGTTGCTTAAGCCACTCAGTCTATGAGGTTTGTTAGGGCAGCTCTAGCTAAGACACACACCAGATCTCAGTTCTCACTACCTCCTGTGCTACCACTTTGGTCTAAGTCCACATCATTTTTTCTCCTGGTTTATTGTGCCTACTGACTGGTATTCCTGTCTACTGTGGTAGCATCCAGTTTGCATTTTAACTTTCTCCCCCTCCTGACCTAGATTCTCTTCTCCAAACAAAAGCCAGTGATCTCATAAAACATAAGCCATGTCATGTCTTATATATCATCTCATTTCACTTTTTTTAACAATCATAATGCTGCTCAAAATTCTCCAAACATTTTCCATCTATTGGGTTATCGGAAAAGTCATGACATAGTTTTTCTGTTTTTCATTGCAAAAATGCCTCATGACTTTTCCGACAAGCCAATAATTCATAGTAAAATCGAGAATCTTGTCAATAGTCAACAAAACTCAACATGGCCTNCAGGTTTAGAGGCAGGAAGTTTTCCAAATGTAGTTTATATTTCTGACATTATCCCTGGGAAATATTTGCAGGAGCCTTATTTTGTAGGCTAAACATTTTCACAGGAGATTCAGATAAGCTAAACTACACACAGATATTTTAGTCTACTTATTATTGTGCCCTGCACAAAGCACATGTTACATTATGATGTTTTCATATAAAGGAGCTTTATGTTTTTTGTGAAAATATTCAATAAATTGTGGCACAATACGGCTGCTTAAGCATAAAATGAAAGTCAATATGAGCTATGTTGATATGCATAATGTTCTTCATAGGTTAAAAAAATAAAACTTCTCTTGAAGTCAGGTGCTGCTTCTATGTAAGGATTTCGAGTCTCCCAGGTGAACTAAATGCTTATGTTTTGTGGAATTTTCATTCTTATTTATGGTTTAAACCATATTCTGCAGATGTATATTTACGGTTGTGGATAAAAACCTATTTACTCTGTAACTCTTACTGAAATAGAGAACTTAGTGAAGAACCTGATTTTTAACACTTATAATATCACAGTTAACAACGGTGATGGGTCCCCAAATATCACTCATTGTGACTTCCGATACCTTTTGGAATAACAAGGAGCATAAAAAACCAAACTCACAAGTTAAATACATATCACTGGTTGCTCTCCACACTTTATTAATGTTGGCATCACAGCTGGGTTGTGGTCTAGCTCTGTTGTTCTATGGCCTGGCGTTCTAGAGCTGAGAGAGGCCTGAGAGGTTGCCAAGTCCTTCCTCAGCGCCTGGGGGCAGCCCAGCGAGAGCTCCAAGTCTGGGGTCAGACCTGAGCTTCCACTGGCTTCACCATTCACTAGAGGCAGCCGCTCCGGCAAAGGACTTAACATCTCTGCATCTCAGGTCCTCAGCCCTGGTACTTCCTGTGTAGAGCTGTTGCCAGGAATTAATGTCTGGAAATTGTTCTATGAAATTTTACAAATAACATAAAAATCTTCTTTGTACAGATAAAAAAAATGAGACCTGGAGCGGTTAAGACAAGGTTGTCGGTGTATGCAGTCTATGCAACCAGCTTCCCAAAACACTTGTCCATACATCAACAAATTAGTCAATTTGATCTTCAAAGTATAGTAGGTACTGCAGGTGTAAAGATGAATATGACACAATCTTGGAAATTATTTTTTGGGGGAAGATTATGCATACAGTGTAAGGATTTAAGTAATTAAAAACAAAGGATAGTTTGGTAAGTTTTATAGATATTAACCACAATTAAGTCAGAAGAGAAAGTTATTCATTGGGACAGAGTGTCTGGTATGACATGTCATATAACCTGTCCTACTTTCTATAAGGCTTGAATAGGTATAGCAAAATAAAATCTATTTGTCTGATGTGAAGGATCTATCCAAATATACAATCTTGAAAAAACTGATTACATGCATTTTCTACCCAATGCATGATACAATATCAAGCTCTATTTAAAAGAAACAAGAAGACATGTATTGGCACTATTTTTCTGTTTTTACAGAGTTTGATATTTGTTAGCTAATTGTTCAAATCATTTGGGCTTCTTTGTAGTGCTCTGTCACCTGCGGCTCTGGACGTCAGCACAGGGATGTGTACTGCAGGCTGAGAGGTGTTGGTCGGGTGGCTGAAGAAATGTGTGACCAGTCCACCCGGCCGTATTTTCAGAGGCAATGCTGGCGTCAGGACTGCACACAGTACCAGTGGGCGGCCGGAGAGTGGCTGGATGTGAGTATTGACGAGTAAACTTTCAAAGACACTGCCCAAAGGCATGTTTTACTCATTTCGTCATTGCATTTCTAGTGTTCGACATCATGTAAGAAAAAAGAGACACATCGGCAAGTGAGGTGCCTTGATGCTCAAAACATTCAAGTGAATGAAAGTTTCTGTGATCCTTCCACCAGACCTCTTTCAACCAGGAAATGCAGGAACCCTCCCTGCAAGTATATTGTGGTGACAGCAGACTCATCTCAGGTAAAGCAAAGACAGGAATTTAAGAATTTCTGTTCCTGGAAAACACTC